TCGCGGTACAACAGTTTAACAATATTTTAACAGGTATAATTATTATAGAAGTCATATCTGTTTGTAAGAAAATTATGTCAAATACGCACAGACTCATTATAAATACATTTTTGGTGATTACTAACATGCCCATTTAAATACGAAAATGTCAGTGATCCTTAACAACCTATACTCTACGATAGAAATCCGGATAAGACTAATTTTATGGACGGGTAAACAGGTCCTAGGACAACTTAAATAATACACGAAATGCTTTTCGATAGCTAGATTGTGATGGTTGTTTGTTTTTAAACAATAAGTCTGAATTGTTCGAAAGCAGTTGAGGAGGCTAGGAACAAAAAGTGACATTTACGTGTTTAGATCAACTCAAACATACCCTTCTGGAAGAAAAAAATACATTTCAATTCAATCTCTGTCTCTCATATCTTAAGTTGACTGGACGAAATTTTTGAATTCAAAAATTATAAGCATTAAACTTTCAAAATCATTTTTCTTTTTGTTTCAGTACCTGAGCTGGTACTTTTGGCATTTTGTCCTAATTTCATCCATTTTTGACTCCTTTATTTTTATATGAGCGCATAGTCGCATTACTTTCTACTTCCTATCTAGAGTAACACATAATATATAGAGTTAGTAGTACGTATCATCCAGTTGCGCTCACAATAAATAGGTAAAACAAACCGATACATTCAGCACAAAACTTCAACTTTCAATGTGAACTGAATGGAGCAATAGTTATGTTTATGTGTTTTTTGTCTTTTATAGATTTTCAGTAGAAAGTGTCGCGACTCATATAAAAATAATTAGTGAGATATTCGAAGTCCTAAAATAAAACGGAAAATGTTCATACACCGTTATAGAATCGTATAAATATGTAAGATCAACTTGAAATGTTATTTTCAGGTTCAAAAATCCCGCTTATAGACCCGAGTCCCTTGTTATTTAAAAAGATTAAAAATGTTTTTTCTTGCTCCGGACAGTTTTTTCAGTTTTTTTGAATCAATGTTGTATATAAAATTCAGTTTTAATTGCTTTATTAGTACCTTTCATTTCCAAGAGATAATTGTACGTATTCTACTGCACATGCTTCCAAAAATTGTATAATACTAAAACGATCTTCAGGTGACTTACGAAATAGTTCACAAATGTATTTTATAGTTTAAAATAATTCTATTTTTTTGTTTTGGAACATTTAAAAAACTGCGAATTCCCAAATCTTCAATAAGCTACTGCACGTGAAATTCAGACTTAAATTACCTGATGTATTTTTTATGGTCAATAGTACTACGAGTATCATAATTACCGTTTTTACATCACGTGGAAACTAAATGGTGCTAGGAAAATTGAAACATCGTAATGTGAAATTCTAGGTCTATTGCAACTGTATTCACCCATGATTCTTACTGGGAGGGGTTGAGATTCTAAAGAAAGGTCAATAGGATTTATGTAGAATAATATACAGGGGGTCCCATTTCAATGTCCCTACCTAAATATTTTAAAAACTACCTAGAAGAAAGTTCCATACAAAAGTTGTAGGGTTTCGACAGTACAAAATGATGGTGACCTTGACAATGTCAGCGACTTTCAAGGTCATTTCAAGGTCAAGCGGATATTTTCAAATAGAACTGCCATCTTTACACCGGCTTTGGAAAGAGTGCGACCTTGACTATGGCCATCACCATGACTTTTAAAACCATTACAAGGTGAAATCAGGACATCGAAAATAATTTACTCTAGCAAAAATTGTCGACCCAAAGGTGATCTTAATCATGACCTTGACCATCATATTCAAAGTCATCTAAAAATTTTACACGTTAAATGTAAAACCTCTTGCTCTCTGCAATTTTGGCAAAAGAATCAAAGGGGTTGCTAACATTTAAGACTGACATGATCTTGACTTGTAGGTTAAGGTTACTATTTGGACGTAACATTTCCTGCTTTCTCCAATGCTGGGAAAAAACTAGTTGTCTTTGAAAATTTTGACCTTGAAGGACATGGTCAAGGTCAACTTTAAGTGACCCCATCAAACATCACAACTGAGCTGTCGAACAGTTTTGCTAAAGCAAATTGTTTCCAATGTATTTGATTGAGGTTGAAATGGCCTTGAAGGTCATCGACAAGGTCATATTTGGACGAAGAATCCTGAAAAGGAACGTTCTATTTGAAAATATTCGCCTTACCTTCAAATAACCTTAAATGTCGCAGTGAAGATTATGGCCAAAATCAACATAATTTTGCTCCCTCAAAACCCTACAACCGTTTTTTCTTTCTAGGATGCGTAGTTTTCGAAAGATCATCCCTCGTATCAATAAATAAGATTGACGTGAGGCCATCAACAAATTGAAAATAGACGACCAAAATAATTGTCCAGCAATGTACTACTCCTCATTACCATGAGGAGCAAGAGAAGCTAAAAATATCCTTATTGCAAAGTATAAACATATAATAGGCCCAGTGAAACAGTGAGCAAAACAAAAAGTCAAAAGTAGTAGCATGCACGTAGGTACAAATTATAGAGAGCCGTAATAATCCGATCAACGGTGCTGAGATCGGGCGTTCCCCAGGCAAAATTAATTTCCTTTCAAGATTTCTTTCCTTGAAAATACTTCAATAAATTTAATAAACATTGACGACATTGTAGATACCGCCATGTTTAATATCGAAAAATGAACGGTAAGCTCATATCGCTAGCCTCTAAGAAGCAAGTTGTCATACTGATAGTGACAAGCATACAGGTACATGTGGAAGACTCATATGTTGTCCAGAAAGTTTTCAAGGCAGAGAGACAAATCTAAGAAATGTATGTATGCGAGCTTATACGAACACATGTGAGTGCATGGAGGATGATTGCATGATGTATGTGTGAGGAAGGTAGATACATGAAAGAAATTCCTGCAATTTGTACTTTGATCCATCAAAAACCATGAAAAGCCAATAGTAAGCATGAACAGTTCATACAGGGTGAAAACATTTTCATGGATCAGGCTATACGAGGGATGTAGCGATTGAAAAATTTGGAGGTCCTCGAATGGACCATTTTCTAAGCCAGGTAGTTTTTTTGAAACATGCATTTCTACATGAATCACCTCTTTTGAGAAATTCTCGCCAGCAGATATTCATTTGAATATTTGACGTATATCTTTATAAAAAGTTAATCCATTATACTTTCAAAATACGATGAAGTCAGTAAATTTGTACATTGAAAATTGTATTTAATGTATTAAGATGCAATCTCGCATCGCCATAGTCTTATTTTAAACATATTCATATTTTGTCTTTATTTAGTTACATCAGTGGCGTAGAAACTTACACCCTGTATCACGGGCTTTTTTAGGACCAATGTTTATGATAATCTTTTTTTCTGTAATTGTTTCTGCTCTAGAAATATCGCAACTGTTTTCTGAATCACCCTGTATAGTGCGAAGAAGTAAAAATGGGGCGATACGAAATACTACAGATCCATAATCATAGTACAATGGCTAAGGGCCGTATCGTCAGTCGTCCCTACAATTGTAGGACGCCTCTATGGCCTCTTTGATTTTCATAGTCTTTCCTTTCCTTCAGAAGGGCTGGGATATTTCTAGATTTCTACTGTTCCGTATCAGCGTCAGCGCTCTCCTATTGTCACGCTATGTTTTCTTCTTAAATTGTAGGAAATTTCAGGCTATATAACAGATTATATAAATCAAAAGTATGAACAATGTGATGCAAAAAGATCCTTTGATATAACCTCAAGCTAGAACGCTGACACGGGAGAGTAGAAAACTATGAAAATCAAGGAGGCCATAGAGGCGACCTACAATTGTAGGAACGACTGACGATACGGCCCTAAGTCTGAGTTTTTGTCACTCGAAGTGTGGGAGTTTTGTTTAAGAGGTTACAAATAAATAATTATTCCTTACGACTTTTACCCTGTTAGAGGGAACATTTTTTTTCAAGCCGTCAAAGCTCAAGTAATTTTTTAGAAAATGAAATATGATTGAAAATAAATTATGACGTGATTGCAGAACACTATAAACAAAAAAATAAAAAAAGACTATGGACTTGAATATTGCTCTTTTAAAGCTTTGGCAGCTGTAATTCTCAGCGAAGTTATAAAATGGTAAGTTACTTAGGAATCGCGAAAAATTTAAGCTTATAAGATGAGGATAAAACCCTTTAGTCTTTGGAAACATGTATCTGCTTTCTGAAATGTTCATTAAATTAGAAGACGCACAAGATATAAATTTGAATTAAGAAATCTTCAGTTACGGAATATTTCTGATTATCTTCAAAAGAGATTTGGAAGTAAGAAAAACCAATTAACAAACGATAATGTTTGAATTTGTGTATAAGCAGTTCATCGTAAGTACACGAGCTGGCAAAAATTCATGAAACTGCACGAAACCACCCCCTTTTTAAAATAGTTGACGCCATTGAAGCATTGCCGTAATTGATATAGTTGGGAAGCATTCATAATCTTTTTGCTTTTTGAAAGAAGCTAAAATTTTTTAGTGATGATATGTAAAAGATGCCACAATGCGAAGATATCTTTATGTGAATTTTTTTAATCTATGCCCAAAAAACTATATGTGAATTTTTCGACAAATGTTAACACTCCCTAATTTTTGGTCTACGAAAATAGATGACCATATTTTTTTTATAGTAATTGCACCACCAATACATTGATCTTCCAAAGACAATAGCAATGATGATTCTGTTTAATAAATTTCTTTGAAATAAGCTCAGCAATTTCGGATACTACACGGTCAACAGAAATTGTCGGATTGATAGACCTACAGTCAAATAAATCGACATATGGTTTGGTTAAAACTGAATCCTTGCAATCATAAAATGTTTAAGAGGCTTATAAGGAATTTGAAACTTTGGCTTATGATTGGCTAATAGGTGAAATGTTGAAAAATAAACTGTAAGAACACTGATGATGCACGTATGATTATTGAAGGCAGTGACCCGAGCGAGTAGCACTACTAACAAAAGAAGAATATGAGGGTACTCACCCGATATAGTTGCTAAGTATTGATAAAAGAACGTCCCTCTCTTGGTACCGCCTGGCTGTTCATCCACCTCTCGCTGTGTTACTCCCATCGTTAACTGAAGAAGAACTGAGATCAGTACAATTTATTCCATGCGAGTGTGGTGTGTGCGTAATGTTGGATTTGTACGATTAAAAAAATCCGACACACACACAAGTGTAAGTCCGGTTTTGGAACTTACCGCTCACCGCCGTGCAACGGTTTTTTTGGTATTCTTTTTCTTTTTGTTATCTAGAACGTTGCTGCACCAGCGGTCGTTCTTCTCCTATGGTCACTTTGACTCCACAGCATCTTCACAACTACTGAGGTTTTTTGCTGGCTGCTGTTGATGACCACCGTCTGCTACGTCTGAAAGATGGGCACCTTCCTTCCACTCTGTTAATAGATAAACATAGCAAAGGTGCGCACACGTTGGTTCGTGGTTTGCCACGGGTGTTAGTATGGGAGATTGTCCAAACAAAAATTAGATATGAATGTGTAAATAATCCAAGAGATACACACTTGACTTGTAACTGGTGAGGTGACGGTCTGTGATACCCCATCATATTCTATAACGAAACAAGGCAGCGCAAAGCGCCACCTATTACCAGAATAAACCACTACGAGAGTGTATAGCAGCTATTGGCTCTAACAAATCTGTAATGATTTCAGTTTGAGATTGATAACCCAGTTACCACTGTGACCGCTAGAAGCCGACGATTCTGGTGGATAGTTGATTTGAGTTATTCGCCATTCAACAAACTAAACATGCTGTTTTCGTCCATCAGACCACAGATAGCTAGCCATGGACTGTTTTGTGCTTTTTGGCAGCTCATCAGGATGGTCTGGACTTGGTATCTGGGACAACGAGCGAAATCACAGCAACAACCCTCTATCTGAGGCCAGGCACGAGACCTAACGAAATGAGACAGTGCAAAGCGCGGCTTGGCTGACGAAAGCAACATGTTTGGTTCCTTCAATAGCGAGTAGGGCACATCTATTTTACCTCCAGAATCGTCACTCCTAGCGGTCACAGTTGTGACTTGGCTATCAAACGCGAATTGATATCTTTACAGTACCAACAGATAGTTGCTATACACTCTCTTAGTGGTCGATTCTGGTAATAGATCGTGCTTTATGGGACTTATTTCGGTAGATCATATACCTGAGATAGAAGATAGTTGCTATGTTTTCGTTGGTTGTACTACCTGAGACAAGCCTAGACCATGCTGATGAGTTGCCAACAAGCGTGTTTATATTCCATAACCCCGCATAATTCCGCCATTCATTATCTCGATTTCAAAATTATAAGCTAAAACCCTGCACCTGGTGAGGAAGCATTTAATGTTTATTTTCCGTGTTATTTCTTATTCATTTTATGTTCTAGAAATATTGCAACGTTTTTCTGAATATATATATATATATATATATATATATGTCATAAGATTTTGTTGTTTGTCTTACTTAGAATTTTATTTCTAATGAATTCCAGCGTTTAGTTATTTTTCGAAAAAGAAATTTCTAATTTATTAATAAAAAAGGTTTACAGTATTTTTGTTACGTATCCATGTTAAAATTATGGCGAAATGCATAAAGTAGAATCAGGGTTTGTTTATATGAGTTTCTTTAAAAAAGGGAATAAACTAAAGTATTTTGGTGAAATATTAAGCATCAGTTACGAGAAAAATTTCTCACCACTAGTTACGAGTTAGAGAATAACCCATTGAAAGAAAAGTGTATGGTTTCCCTTTTGTCAAGATAAGTTTTCAAAACAAACTTCCCAGACTGAACGATTGACGAAAATCGCGATTTCACATCACGACAAGACAATTAGCGGATAGATGATAATGGTTATTTTACATCAAAAGATTTAGAGTGAGCAGATGACTAATCGCTGATAATCTGATAACAAAACATTTTGGTACCTTGAATATCTCATACCGTTATTATTTGTTCTAAAAGAGCAGATGGAAAAGAAAATTAGAGGTTACAGCTTACAGAAAACTGGGCACTACATACCTATTTACACAGATAAATGAAACAGAGAAGGCTAGGCCTTAAAAAGCTGTGTAATCTCACGGTTTCAAGTTCCTAATTCCATGAGTCTCAGGGAAGTGTCTGCTCTTAGATTGCTCCACATTCTAGATATTCTAAGAATATTCATTTCATCACACGTGGTGGTTGCATTAGTATAAAAAAGCACCGCCAAGATTGGACGAGAAGCAGAAGACTCACAAGTCCGTCCAGAAGGCTGAGAACGCAGCGGCACTATAAAAGAGGAGCTGGCGAGAATTGCTCTTTTGTATACTGAAGCAGCCGCGTAGACAGAAGCCTAAACAGCGGGGCACCATGACGACTTCTTTTGAACTGCCTAAGGTTAGCAGAGCTGGGAAAAGCCTAGTCGTGTAGATTGTTCCACAATCTGGATAGTTTAGGCAAAACGGAGTTTTCTATGTACAAGTTTGAGCTGGGATAAGAATCAGAAGCCTGCGGGATCCGTCTAGCAGGATCAACGCTCGGCGTCATGGAGAAGAGCCTTGAAGAATGAAGCCCGTTGACAAAGCGGTAGAAGAGAGCCAGATCGCCGGCCGCCCGTCAGCTGAACATCCCTTCTCTGAACAGCATCGAGTATGGTATAGTCGCGGCAGCACCACAAACATGTGAGCAGTGCTTAATGCAAGGTCTCATCTGGGGCTTGCACAGAGTGAGGGAGGTATGTGGAGAAGAATACTTATTAACCGTGAGCAAATAACCTAGTTTTCTCACATCTTTCAGCTGCGGCGACCTGTAAGATGTCATATCAAGTTCTTGGTGATCTGGACTCTGATCAGCTGAAATAAACGGCTCTTTGGTAGAGCTCGGCCAGCCATCGAAACCGGATAAGCGCTAGTGCGCTTCTTGTTCGTCAAGGTACAGTGCTATGTTTTGAAAGCGCAAAACTGCAATAGATTGTTGCGACCCCAAGCGGTGATAATTTCCAGATTTCTCATCACAGCGGAAGTCGCTACTGGTATTTTTACCATAGCTCATCATCGGAATTTGGCTTGCCACACTTAATACCTGCGTAGTGCTATCATCAGCAAAGCTGCATGTAATAGCAACAATGTTGGTGTCATGACTGATTCCTGAGGAAGACCCGCGTTGACATTCTGAGATGAAGAGGAGAACGCGCCAGTTACGACAGATATCTTGCTACCGGAGAGAAAATTCGCCACAAATGTGCAAAGCTGAGGCTTTGTTGGTGTATTGATAGACAAAGACCCCAATCGGTGAGAAACAAGCTTGTGATTACCTGCCCGTTCAATACGAAATACAGAGATTTTTTCCTTCATACTTGATTTTTCCACTTTACTATATATTTGTTTCCAAACAAAAACATTTCATTTGTGATATAGTAAATGGAAGCACGTTTCCTTTCAAGCCATAATTATTCCACAATTCTATTTTGATTGATGTTCAAATTGTTTTAATTTTTATTCGTTGCTTATGGCACCCACAAATAGCTGCCTGTCATGAACTCATGATTCCAACCCGTGCGGTATTATCATTATTAAAAAACAAAACAAATACTGTATGCAATGATGTCCATTGTCTCTGTAATTGGGGAGATTTACAGATTCTAGGAAGATGTTGGAAACATTTTAAGTGACTTAGTATAGCTTCCAGTCGCTAAAGTGTTTTTCTCAATGATTTATACATCATGTTCCAGTTCAATCATTGTGATGTATTCTACCTAAGGCTGGTTTTAGAGTCACGCTGACCGGCCGCTGACCGTCAGCGCCGACAGGCGAAATATACGAAAGTCTAGGAAGCGTTTTAGAATAAGGCGTAGCTGTCAGCGCGGACGGTGGTCAGCGCTGATAGCTCAACAGACATACGCGTCGCGCCTTTGCCTTCATTGTTCATTGAGCGTTCTAGTGTCGAGCGGAATGGACGCTGTCAGTGTGTACAGGTACAGTCATGTCCAATCACGATGTAGACACAAGTCGAGTCATCCAGTACAACGCGATTATTGCTCTCCGCATTTTGCGTCTACGACTGTATTCCGTGGCGATCAGCACGATACTAAAACGTTTCGCGCTGACAAACCACGCGCTGCGCTGTCAGCGCTGACGTCAGCTTGACACTAAAACCAGCCTAAAGATAGCTAATCACATACCTTATGGCGGCACTCATAAAGGGATCTGAATAGTCCTAGCGGTATCTTAGAGACAATAGCAGAACACAAAAATTGATTTAGAAATATACTTTAACAAGACTTAGAGTGTTTGGTCCTGCTGCTGTCCACTAGGTGGCGCTAGAATCTTGAATCCCTTTTTGGCGATTCTCTAATGCCTATCTTAATTCTTAATTGGGTATTTTCAGGCGGGATACGTTGAGGATACTCAAGTAAGATAGGCATTAGAGAAGCGCTGAAAAGGGATTGAAGATCCTAGGTTTATCTATGTGACAGTAGCAGAACCGTATACTAACTCTTAGATTTCTGAATTCATTTTTGAGTTCTGCTACTGTCCCACCGAAAGCGCTAGTAACTTTCAGATCCTCTTTTGGACACCGTAATACAGTATATGGCTAATTAGTTGTTGAAATATGTGGCGGCAACCTTGTTTAATTGGTAACGAACGTGGCTGGGCACATGTGCTGCGATATGTTGCAGACTATTAGACGTTTGTCACATGTTGCGCAACATTTATTTCAATATTTTTTTCCTACATATAAATGTACTTGCCGCGTGTTCCGCAACATGTGGTAGACTGCTTTACTGGAAACGTACCAGTTTCGTGTGCTGACAATTTTTTGAGTAATATAACACGAGAATGGGCTTTATGATGCATTGTGAGCAAATTTGTTTAGGGCTGAGAAGTAATTTTCTCCGCATATTCCACACTATTTTTTATATACAAGACCCAGATAGGACCCAACGTCGAGTATTTCTCACATGATTAAGGTCGTACCGGCCCACTACATTGTCCATACCCGATGCTGTTTAAAGGAGGGCTGTCTAACTGATCGACGACATCTCTATCGGACAGTCTTATGACCCATTTGGATATAAGGGCGGCCGTCGACCTGATCCTTTTCTACCGCTATGTTAACGGGCTTTGATCCTCAGCGCTACTCCATGATGCCATCGAGCGTTCAGTCTACCAGACAGACCCGCCAGGCCTCTGCCTTCCTTATTAATGCCGACAAACTTTATCCAACAGAACTAGCTGGTACAATCGTTCCTTTGTTTCTTGGGTGACAAGATTGTCGAACAATCTGCCAGTTCTACTAACCTTAACCAGATTAAATATCAGATTAGCCTTTAAGCTCCTTATAGCAGACGTGGCGCTCCGGTATTTAGGTTTCTGTGTACGTGATATAAGTATAAAAAGACAAAGCTCTAGATATTTTTCATCAGATACGTCCCATGAAGAAATACACTGATGTCGGTAATTTTTGAGACAATCACGAAGAAGTACCATCAATAAGTTCCGGGCAATAATTTTGGAACTGATGACTTAACATCAATTTGTATTATAATTTAGCTGGCTTACGTAACGACAGAATATGCGGCTCCCCATCGACTAACAAATGTATCCAAAGTTTGTTGGGATTAGGAAAAGCATTATATAAGAATTGATCACGTTTTATATC